GGGGGATTTTATTTCAGAACAGATTCTCCGGGGGAAAATCTGTACCGGTATAAAATCTCCGGCGGGAGCGTTTATACCGGGACACCGGCTCAGATATATCATTTTTTCACACAAAATATCCACAACAACAGACGCTTGCTTTCGTCAAAAACATAATCTAATGACAAAGATAAATGCTAATTACAGCTATGAAAAAAGTAAGTTTTTTGCTACCTAACGCTGCTCAACTTGATTTACTTTTTCGTCTAAGGAAATGGAAAACTCAGCTGCAAATAATTGCAAGTTTTAAAATCTTATCTGAGGTGTCTCTAGTCCCCTTGATGGTTTTTCAGCGATTTGTGAATTGTACATTTGAGGAACACTTGTTGAGGATATAAGCACGTGAGGAACGGACATTACATGAACATTGTTATATGGCAGTGAATTTTAATGATTGTAACTTTGTTACATTGTTTCTGTTGAGATTCGGTAGACGCTCATTACAATGTATTTGGACTTTAATTAGTCGTCAGGAATGTAGTACTATTTGATGTACGCCGTCGTCGTCGTTTAGATGCTAGTGTGGTGTGTAAACTTCCGGAATATTGCTGACGGTGATAGTGTGTTATAGAAACACTTGGAATGTTCTTTGTTGTGAGGACACTTTTTTGTAGAAATTTCCAGTAGCTACCCCTGCTTCTACAGTTTGCATTGGCTAGGGCAACCTGACCATACATATATGATTTCTAAGTTTTACCATGCGGCATAAATGTTTGGTCAATCCTATCCATGTCTTGTACACGCGTGTGTGGTGCTTAACGGTAATAACTATACTTAACATCCATTATCATTTTCTGACTTGAAATCATGCTGCCGTCATGCTTATTCGCCGAGCAGATCGTCTCTCCGGCTCCCCTACCCCACACTCAACCGAGTTTTAACTGGTGATGTTTAAAATTTGTGGTCAGGCTGTTACGAAAATTGTTTATGTGCATATTATCGTTTCTTATAACCTTTCTCGGTGAAAGCTGCGCCCGTTATTGCTGAACTGAAGAGGTCAGTCTAGGGTCGCATCATCTGCGAATCTTGTATTCATATCCCAGCCTTAAACAAGCGTCGACTTTTTTCAACGTTAGATTGTGTGCAAAGTTTAAATGAATAATAAGTTAGTAACTATGCACTTCCCCGTCAGATACCGTTATAATACAACTCGTTCATTTTATACTTCGCTTTCATTAGTGTATATAGACACACACGCACTTATTCATCGATTATTCAGTCGTGTCATCATTAGACTGAGATCTCTTCATATCTGAGACCAATGCTATTTTTAGGAGTAGGTCAGCATGCCTCGAATGACCTACAATCACTTCATCGATATCGCATCATGGAAGAAACTTTATATAAACGTTTTTGTGGTCCACGGCCTGCAGCTGATCCTGTTTTTAAAGTACAATTATCCACACTGTTCCGTCAGTCTACCCCGCAGTGAATCGTGACTTCCTGTCGTATGAATAATAACACGGAATTTAAGTTAGATGATCCTTTGAGGTCTTCAGTACATTAACAGGCACGACTCTGTAGCTCACCTGGTTAGAGTACATTCTTCTATAAATATGGCTTCAGTTATTACACATTATTAACTAAATCAACTGTGATGAGCCTAAACAATTCCAAAATCATAACGCATGTACGAACATCAGTCTTATATTTCGGAACTCAAGAGGTCACATGCCTATAGTATAAAACACATTATAATATTAAAGTTATACATTTCCTAAAGTTTAATATATTTTTATCTAACATTGCATAATACATAAACGTGGACAGAATCTGCTGTGTATCGTGCCTGGTACTGCTTAGCAAAGATGAAAATTATTTATATTGGTATGGACATTATAATTTTGCTAGATTATCGATTTCTAAAGTTTATAAAAATTGGATACATAAGCAAGAAGTGGAACTCATCTTACACTGCATTTACATAAGTGGCAAATTCTGTTCTCTTTTAATATTTCTATTTCTTCTTTTTTCAATAAGTAAATAAAAACGTGCCAAGCTTTTTCTGAATTCTTCATATTATCCTCTGAAAAAATGAAGTTCTGTACATATATAACTTTTAAACATTGAATAGAAATTAAATATTTTGCCTGACAGTTTCTGTAGATGTATATCTTTTAATGTTTATGTAAACCCTTTTAGAAATTTTGCATGGAATCCTACATTCTGGTTTCGCCAAATATACCTAAATATATCTGACCTTAAACAATCTATACCAACTTATATATACTACTCAAAACAACTTTTTAAAAACCTCTCAGTTGGAAGGCTGTGTGTTGCAATACCTACCAGCCATAACGGAGTGGCTGTGGTCATATGAAATAATCGGGTGATCTTTAACTTCTTTTGATTAGTATATGTGTGGAAAGGATCAGGTGTTACACATGCTTGTGCATACATGTTTGCTGAAAAATACTTTTCAATCAAGTAAGTGTATATATTGATAAAATCCACACACGATGTCACTGTAATAGTTTCCTTTGTTAAAGGTTTTGGTGAAATGACAGAATGTCATACCCTCTATAACACAAAATATGTTTTATGTTATTCTAAGCAGGGGCCCTTCAACAGATCATTACAGCATGAAGCGCGCATATGTACGTCATGGTCAACACATGTAAGTGAATACGTGTCTAATCAATCACATGTTTGTTGCATTCGGTGTTAATTCCACACTTAAACGTTTACGCCAGAGAAAAAACAGTCTCTATTATCCGAATTAACAGATTACATTTGGCATAAAAGGCAAAATATCAGTGAAATATCAGGTTAAAGGGTAAGCATGCCTTTTTCTTGTTGCCTGACGCCGCACAGCCGTACTCCTGGAAGTATCGTTTTTTAAAACCCAGTACGGATGTATTGAACATAGGATTTAACTCCTGTGAACACTTTTAAGTGTCATCATTGGCCGAACATACAAATCAGAGATCCAATGACTGCAAACATCTGTGAGTTCAACGCACTTGGTCGGTGTCTCCATGCCCTGGTTGTGTCCTGAGAGGGATATTCATGTTAAACTGTGTCATGGTATCTCAGAAGGCTAGCACTATAAAGTACGGGCTAGTACAAGAAAAGATTGAGACACCTACACATGTACGCACGCTTGTTCGCACACACACACACACACACACACGCACACACGCACGCACGCACGCACGCACGCACGCACGCACGCACGCGCGCAAACACACACACACGCAAACACACACACACGCAAACACACGCAAACACATGCTTGCATGCACCTGGCAACTTCAGTGTAATTATCTTGAACGCAGTGTTTAGCCCCATTTTACATCACCCCTCCTAACATGTCACTTATCTGTTAAAATATAGAACATCGTTCTATATCTGTTACGGTGCCAGTAAATGTATCAGTGTATAACATGATTAAGAAGTATAAGGTAGCCGCTATGTAAGGACCTGGATAGTATATAGTGCCAGGAAATAGATTTGTTGATGCTTGCGTTGGACATAAAACAATGAGGCAATGCCTCACGGGGAGGTTCGTGAGCGAGCTGGTAATAACATCCAGGTCCCCGGGTCTCGCTCTAATACAGGCAATTATCTCAGCAAGTTAAGCTTGTTATGCCCTAATTGATACTTTCATCTTCAATTTGAATCTGATAACCGTTTTTCTTCCAATCATGAAATAGAATTTGTTGCCTTTCGCGGAAAGACCCTTCAGGCGCGAGCAATAGTTACTAATCATATGATATAAAATGACATTATTACTTCAAACTCTGATTCCTGTAATTTTAGTTGTTAAGAACCTTCGATAAGAAAACAAGATTCGATCGGAATGAACGTTTGTGTTGTCTTCGTGGTGTTCGAAGTTTCTTCGTTCATCGTTTATTACCCTGAGGACTAAAAACTCTGTTGTGCGTCCAGAATCGTGAGGTTTCACAGATCGGGATACGTAATATGTTCAAAAATACTTTGTTCGTGTACATAAGAGTTGAAGTATTGAATCTGAAGTGGGCGGCAGGAATATAGTACGAATGTTCTAAATCTTACTAAGATCATCTGCGATGAGTTTCCTCTTGAATAAACGCAACTTTTTTGGACGTACATGTATGTTAACAGTGTGGGTGGGTGAGGATGTGATGTCGATGTAGATTCAGGTGTTGTAGAAGCGGATCTACTGGAGATGAGGACGTGGGTGTAACATAACCTATCCATGACTTCTCAACACGTCTGTAACTTCTATATGTGGTCTAAAGGCGAGATAGTTCAACACACTCATCTTTGATGGTGGCTAAAAATGAAAGAGGAAACGGCGAGGTATTTGATACGGGCATCATAGTTGTGTTTAGGACCTTAATAAGTGGTTAGGCGACTGTTTACAGCTTAGTAACATTTTCGTAACGTTTGAATTTTTTATGAAAACTAGTTTCAAATGTATGCTTTCTTTTGCCCGGCAGTTCATTGCCACAATAAGACAACCAAGCTCCGGTCATTTTCTAACCTGAATTTTGTTTATAGTGTTCGTACAAGGTGTTATATGGTACGTTCTTGTACACTGTATGTTATTAACACACAGGCAGGTGTTTCTCCTGCCTCCTTCGAAATAATCCTAGATTATTTAACAATAGTGTGTGAAAGCTGAGATATTTCAATTAATTATTTTCCTAAAAATACAGATGACTGTATTTTTATCCCACTTTCTTGGGATCTTTTAATATCTAATTATATCTCTCATTATATAGCATCCGCTTTTATTTCACAAATATACTATTTCCTAAATATTAAGCAGCAATTATAGTTCTTTTCCTAAAGATCACATGTCTCAAACCTACTATAATAGCTAAACATAGTTTCCACATATGTTATAAACGCACTCAAGATGCTTAATGACGAGGATCGTGTGTGTTCCCACTCCTCAGCCCCGTGGTTTGCAAAACGGTCTCATTTCTGTCGAGTCCACTTCGTCTCCACTCTGCTATATTAGGCCTGCAAGGGGAACCACTAGTTTCCATCTTTCCTTACTCCGGCAGTTAAATGCTTATCGTTGGACCTCTATAGAATCGAGAGCATCTCTTATTGATCGCAACGCGGCAAGAAGTAAGAGCGTTCTCCTACTGAGATAAAAGTGGACGTGGACAATCACCTAGACCTCGTTGACGAGTACATAGTCTCTGACAGCGAAAAGATCGGAGGATGTGATTTACTATGCCTTCGCACGTGGATCAGTAACCTTAGATTTTGAGAGTGTGAAGCAAGAATCAGTTGGCGCTACCTTTCCATTAGTACTAAACACACTTGTGGACATGGAGCTATACTTTGGTGTCCTCTGCCTCCTTTCACTACTTCATATTGCTAAAGGTAAGTTTTCATGGCAACGTTTCAGAAATTACTGGTTTAATTATTTTCTTGATAATATAAAATTGAATCGTCTGGTGTTGGAGTGACAAAAACTTGATACATGATGCATATGAATCTGTGCATTGATATCTTAACTTATGCCATAAGAGAGAGAGCGGAAGGTCCGGGGTTCGATCCCGCGCCACGTCTTACTAAAAGACGTTAAAAGATGGTATCTTTTGTTACCCTTTCTGTCGCGCGGAATTAAGGGGCTAAAACAAGGACTGGTCGGCTCGGAGTCAGGATACTTTGTCTGAGTGGGGTATTCATTTTAAACTGCGGCATGGTATCTCATGCATCAACCAAGTCTGTCAGTGAGCCTGGCCACCCGATCCCGTTAATCGTCTCTTACGACATGCATAGTTGCCTTTTATGGCGAGCATGGGTTGATGAAGACCTATTCTTCCCCGAATCTTCACGGGTCGCCCCATGACTAAAACCATCTATGAGGCGTTAAAGACCTCATCCGTGGTCTAGTGGAAAGAGCGTTTGCCCGAAGAGCGGAAGGTCGGTGGTTCGATCCCCTGGCCGCGTCATAAAAGATGGTTCTTTGTTGTTACCCTGTCTGGCGGTAGGCACAAAAGGGATAAAACCAGGACTCACAGGCTCGGAATCACTATAACAAGTCTCAGGGGGTATCTGCGGGTTGGTATTTCAGTGGATTAGCACTATAAACCCGGCATTAATCCAGATAGTACATGCAGCCTCACACACGGGCATGCATATAAGTGTAATAATCTTGAACGCGACGTTAAACCCCATTCCACCTAACCTCGCAAGTTGTTCACACGTGACGCTTATGTAACTGGCATCAGTAAGATGGTCGGTGTATACCACACCTAAAGCATATGAAAAATAAAGAAGCTATAAATCCGTATATCGCTTTATGAACTCCAATTACTAAAAGCCTAGACCTACATCTAGTTTATATAACATGACTGCCTGTAAACATATATTTGTATGATTTGCAGAACTATTTAAAACAGTGTTCAATATATGCATAAATATAAATGTTAATTGGTGTACGATGCTATGTGATCATTACAGATGCCCACGAGAAAGTAGCATTAGTTTGTACATTTTGCGTGAAAAACTATACATCATAAATACAGGCTGTACCCATTGTGGTCAGGATCAATATAGAAGAACAAATATTATCACAGTCCGGACTCACCCTGGTTATGTTTTAAGCCCTATATGACTTAAGAGCTGCATCACTTCTGGCTTCCCTCCCACTTCAAGCTAACAGAACGTGATACTGTTCAAAGCTACGTTAAACCAAACTCACTCAATCACACTTGGTATAGAGAAATGTTCCACTCAGCTTGTTAAATGATGATTTAAAAATTGAAAACTAAAAGTAATTTCACCATTTGACCCTCATTAGAAAATTGAAATCCTGAACGAAATGTTATTATAGCAATATCTTTATATTTCATTTCATCGCACATAACTGTCAACTTCTGAAGCCAGAGATTACTCGCTACCGTCCGCTGTGCGGTTTACCGAGATATCTACGATGAATCCGTGCTATAAACATGGAGCCTGCGAAACCAATATACAATCACTGATGTTTATTTGATTACCACCCTAAAGATGTTAAGCTACTAGTCAATGTCAACATGACTGACTCCTCCCAAGTTAATAAGACACCTGGAAGAAATGACATTTAATCAACCGCGAGCCTGTCACAATGACATGAGGATTCTAAGTCTTCATTAATTTACACGTACAGTGCCTGGTAATAAAGGCCTTCGAGAGTGTCACCGTAAAATAGAAATATCGCTTGAAGTACATATTGTAAGAAACAATATTAAATCAGATTATTTCCTTTTTGTTTTCTTTAATCGTCAAATTATAAATTACGTGTAGATACGTAACTAACAATAAATTAAAGTATCAAATCTAATAAAGGTGTTTCATGTGTATGTTTGAGCCTCAATGTAGGATTGGTTTGCAAGTGTTCTATTTTAACTAAAGCAAACTAATACTAAACACTATAGAAAGGATTTTGTGGCTTCAAGTGGCATCTAACCTGAAGCATTTAATCTAATCTGAATCGTATCATCCGACCTGAATCGTATAATGTACGCTGAATTCATGCAACGCTAAACATGATCATACCGCGCCTTGTGGTGTGTTTGCCGATGGAATGTCTTTTCAAATTTAAAACGGCTGATAAACGGTGCTAAAGCGGCGTAACGATAAGCGACAAACCTTTTACATAATCATAAGAAATTCCTGCTAAAAGCGGAGTACATTGTACGATTCCAGGTATTTCATAAGCATGTGTTTATATAAGTCACTATCAAGTATTGATGATACCAGGTGTTCAGGAAAAGTTGGGCGTATCTCTCTCGTGGAACCGGAACAAACACATGCAAAGGCAAGTCAATTGTTCACCTAAAAAAAGGGAAAAATAAGGTACAAGCCAAAATAGGGAATTGCATCATTTTAGTCAGTGATGTACAAAGCTGTACAACGGTCAGAATTATGGCAACATTGATCAAACAATGTTTGAGCAAGAGTCGTATGACGTTCTTTGAAATTTTTGTGGAACATAGCCGCTTTCACCTCAAAAGTTGTGAATTGTAGACACTAAAGGCTGTTGGAGCTGCAGGGATGTTGTTCGACATAAAAGAGAAAATTACTATTGGAAAGATGAAGTCATCCCTCTTGTCACACAGTCTTGGGAATAGTACTTTATCACTCTCAAACTGTATGCATAGATCTCAATTTGAAGCAGACGTTGCGCTTTCACTGGTCTCTTTCATTTCTAGTTCAGGTGGGTAAATCAGTGGACGGGAATTGGCTATTTGACTATTATGGAAATTCCGATTCGTAATGCATAAAGTAACAGATAAGCAAGAAGGTGAGCTCAGTAGCTGCCCATTGGGATGCCTACTTCTTGCCTTAATGTCCTTTCGACGAATTTTACATAGTTGACTAAAATGAGAAATGAGGAAGTCCAACATCTCACATATTGTTTTCTCAATACAGTAACAAATTGCCCTCAACCATTGGAGATAGAGATGTAACTATAACTATGGTGACTACATTTAGTAACAAATTGCCCTCAACCATTGGAGATAGAGATGTAACTATAACTATGGTGACCACATTTAGTGACAAATTGCCCTCAACCATTGGAGATAGAGATGTAACTATAACTATGGTGACCACATTTAGTGACAAATTGCCCTCAACCATTGGAGATAGAGATGTAACTATAACTATGGTGACCACATTTAGTGACAAATTGCCCTCAACCATTGGAGATAGAGATGTAACTATAACTATGGTGACCACATTTAGTGACAAATTGCCCTCAACCATTGGAGATAGAGATGTAACTATAACTATGGTGACCACATTTAGTGACAAATTGCCCTCAACCATTGGAGATAGAGATGTAACTATAAGTATGGTGACTACATTTAGTGACAAATTGCCCTCAACCATTGGAGATAGTGATAGAGATATAACTATAACTATGGTGACCACATTTATTGACAGATTGCCCTCAACCATTGGAAATAGAGATGTAACTATAACTATGGTGACCACATTTAGTGACAAATTGCCCTCAACCATTGGAGATAGAGATGTAACTATAACTATGGTGACCACATTTAGTGACAAATTGCCATCAACCATTGGAGATAGAAATGTAACTATAACTATGGTGACCACATTTAGTGACAAATTGCACTCAACCATTGGAGAAAGAGATGTAACTATAACTATGGTGACCACATTTAGTGACAAATTGCCCTCAACCATTGGAGATAGAGATGTAACTATAACTATGGTGACCACATTTAGTGACAAATTGCCCTCAACCATTGGAGATAGAGATGTAACTATAACTATGGTGACCACATTTAGTGACAAATTGCACTCAACCATTGGAGAAAGAGATGTAACTATAACTATGGTGACCACATTTAGTGACAAATTGCCCTCAACCATTGGAGATAGAGATGTAACTTTAACTATGGTGACCACATTTAGTGACAATTTGCCCTCAACCATTGGAGATAGATATGTAACTATAACTATGGTGACCACATTTAGTGACAAATGAGAACATGGAATTAATTTTCCATAAAGTTTGTTGTATTGTATAGTGGTGTACAAAGTTGAATAATCAAATGTATTGACGTAATTGAACTTCGGTTCTGAGATTTCAAATAGTCAGGCAAATCCTATTAAAATCCGCATGATATTAATTCCACTTGTGTCAAATACTTTCTGTCAATGTAAACCTGTGAATATGAAGAAAATCCTTCCTTGTTTGTATTAAGAAATGACCACGTGACACATAGTGCGTTGTCCTTTGGTAGGTTCTGCTACTGCCAGGAGCGCATTCAGAACACTGCTGAGAACCACAAGTGCTATATCAATTTTTCTTGTCCTTTCAAAAAACTTCTTGCGTGTTCTCAATTGTTTTCATGGAATAACGCTGGCTTCTTATGTGCACTAATTATAAACTAAATTATGACACAATCGTGAGAGTTGCTGAATATAGCCTCGTGGGGATTTCGGATCAGAATTGGTCTCCAGCAACCTATTTACTCGTCTTATTAGGCGACTGAATGGATCAGGTGGTCAGTCTTGGTGACTTGGTTGATTGTGTTTCTCGTAACCCGACGACGTCGAGCATTGCTAATAATGCTTGGTCCAGATTCGATTATTTACAGGCCACCGTCGTACCTGAAATAATCGAACGGTAAATAACAAACACTGAACACCTGAGTTCCATTCCATCGGCTACATTTCGATGCCCGATACAAGTCTTACTTCTTTGAGTGTTGGGGTGGATGTTACAACACAACGACAAAATATCCCCTAACGTACATTTATAAGAAACGTCAACTCCATAAGTTATTCAGTATCGATTATCTGCCGAAACAGATTCCATTGGGGGTAAAAAGCAAAAAAGAGGCAAAAAATGATAT